TATTGTTTTGTTATTATATTTATTATGTTTTTTATATAGGTTTATTTTTAATGTATATATATATATGTATTTATTTTTATGGATTTATACTTTATGTTATTATATATTATGTATATAGATATATTATGTTTTATTATATTATTATTTTTTTATATATGTTTTAGTTATTTTCATGTTTATATATATATGTATGTATATATATATATGTTATTTATTTATATATGTTTATTATATGTATTTAGATGTTTATATTTTTATATATGTATATATATATATTTATATGTATTTATATATATATTATTGTTTATTATATATATGTATTATATATTTATATATGTTTATATATATATTTAGATTATGTAGATTATATATATATATATATTTGTATTTATATATTTATATGTATATATATATTTATTTTATGTATATTTTATATAGATATGTTTTATATATATATATGTATATATCTATATTTATGTTATATATATATATATTTTATATGTATTGATTATTTATTGTCGTGCCGATTAAGGGCAGAGAAACTTGCGATCTGGCTCTTAAATAGCAACGCTCTTCTTGCCATATAGGTACATCTAGTGAATATTTAGTGTATGCAATAATTTCGCCAATTCTTTTGAAACCTAACGAAAAAAATTATATTTTGGTTTTTTGTTGTTTTTCACTGTGTTTGTTTTGTATCAAATTTTTTGTAATACTATTCACTTATTTTTTTTGTTGGGTTAGTTGGACATTTAATTATTTTGTATTGCGTTGAGTTTTAGGTTAGGTAAGTTGGATGTTTATTGTGGGGGCTAATATGTCTAAAATGTTTGTCTTGAATTTTTTGGTTTTTTATTTAGGGTTGCTTGGGTATTGTTAGTGTTTTGGATGTTTGGTCGGTAGTTGTTAGGAGTGCTGGAGTTGGGCACCTGGGGGTCTGTGGGGCAGTCTGTGTGTGGGTGTGTGTGTGTGGTGTGGGTGGTGTTGTGTGCGGGAGTGTGTGTCGTGTGTGTGTGTGTGTGTCGTGTGTGGGTGTGTGGGTGGTGAGTGTGGTGTGTTGTGTGTGTGTGTGTGTGGTGTGTGTGGGGGGGGATGGGGGGGGGTGGGGGGTTGTGTGTGTGGGGGGTGTGTGTGGGGGGTGATGTGGTGTGGGGGGTGTGTGATGTGTGTGGGGGTGTAGTGTTGTGTGGGGGTTTTTGTGTGTCGTGTGAGTGTGGTGTGTGCTTGTGTGAGTGTGTGTGGGTGTGAGTGTGAGTGAAGTGTGTGTGTTGGGTGTGTGTGTGGTTCGGCGGGGTTGGGGACATTTGGTGAGGGGGATTGGTTGAGTTGTGGTGGTTGGTGTTGTGGTTAGGTTGTTTGTGAACAGGCCGGAGGACGGGAAATACGGCGGGGAGGCCTACGGGAGGGGGGAGGGAAATACGCAGCGGGAACATAAGAAGACGGGAAATAAGGAGGGAGGGAAATAGGGGCGGGACCACCGGGCCGACGGGACATAGGGCGCACAGAGTGGGCGCTCAGAGGGAAAACTAAGGAGAGGGAAATAAGGAGGGGCGGGACCTGTGGAGGGTAGGGAAATCAGGAGGGGCAGGGCCTCACTCCAGGAGGGGAGGGAACATAAGGGGAGGGAACTACTCACGGAGGGGAGGGAAATCAGGCGGGGGCGGGAAATAAGGAGAAGCAGGGCAATTAAGGAGACGAGGGACATCAGGAGGGAAGGGACGGGAAATAAGGAGGGGCGGTTACTAGTAGGCGCGGGGCACTCCGGCGCAGCGGGACACTAAGGGCGACGAGGGACCTACGAGGGCCTCAGGAGAGGGCATCACGGGGGGCCCCACACCTCACCGGTCAGGGCACATAGGAGGGACGGGAAATAAGGGCGGGGCGGGCCTAAGGGGGGGCGGGCCCTCAGGAGGGGCGTGACCCTCGGCGGGGCGAGACACATACGGGGGGAGAGCCCTCGGCTGGGCGCGCACAAAGGCGGGGAGAGCATAAGGAGGGGCAGCGCCCACCGGCTGGTCTCTCCACAGGAGGTGGCGCCGTAGTGGCCCACACTTCTTGTCTCTCCCACCTTCTTGTCTCTCCCTCCTTCTTGTTCTCCACCTTCTTGTCTCTCCCACCTCTTGTATTTCCCACCTTCTCTTATTTCCCTCCTTCTCCTCTTTCCACCTTCTCGTCTGTCCCACCTTCTTGTCTTTCCCACCTTCTTGTCTTTCCCACCTTCTTGTCTTTCCCACCGTCTTGTCTTTCCCACCGTCTTGTCTTTCCCCACCGTCTTGTCTTTCCCCACCGTCTTGTCTTTCCCCACCTTGTCTTTCCCCTTTTGTCTCTTCCTCTTTTCATCCTCCCTCTTTTACTTTTTTATACCTTGTATGCCTCTTCTACTACTATTCTTTTTTGTTTTAATTTTTGTCATCTCCGTCTTCATGGTCATCATTGTCTTCATCATCATCATCAAGAAGTTCATTTACATCACTGCTGCTGCCGTTGCTTTATTTTTTTTTCTTCCTCTTGCTTTCCTTCCTCTTCTCTGTATTCTTCCTTTTCCTCATAAATTTCTTCCTGTCTTCCTTTTCCTCCTTTTCTTTAGCTGTAATCTTTTTCCTCTTCCTTGTCCTACTTTTTTTCATATCTCTACATTTCTTCACATTCACCTCCTCTTCCTTCCTTCTTCCTCCTCTTTTCCATCAAAGTTTCCCAGTAGAGTCCAGTGGCAAAATTCTACCAGGGGTCCAGGAGTTTCTTGGTTTTCTGCAGTTGAACTCCATAGCTCTGCCACTGATGGCAATAAAAATGGGTGTTTTTTTTTTCTTTGGCAGCATTAGTCTTAGCAGCCTAGCATAATATTTAATTAATCAATTAAGACTTTCGTGAAGGGGGTTAAGCAAGGAGCCTTGTTCTCATTTCATCTGTAACTTCTTATTTACCTCTAACTGTAGCTAAAACCATTTCTTTGAACTTTTATGCAAAGTAACTTCCAACATCATTTTACTTGCTGGCATCACCCAGTAGCAGACTGGTAGACAGGCTGTAATTAGCAGATGGGGCTCAAATCTCACTCCCTTGCACTGATAGTAGACCTAAAAAAACATTAGATCAAGTCGAATCATTTTACCCTCTGATTATTTAAAAATACTGTATGCAGCATTCATTTTACATATCTGGTATGTAAGAATTCTTCATTTGTCATTCTTTTTTGTCATTATTTAACAATAGCTATATTTAATCTTAACTGTCTTGGAACTTTGTAGTTGTTTTTCTGGAATCGTACATTAATGTTATATTTAAATCCGTTGTATATAGTTTTTGATAATCTATCTTAACAATCCATTTCGTCAGATCATCAAAGACAGGTGCCATCGTGGAAGATACGGCGGAAGTTACAGTTCGAGCACTAGCCGTGAGACATAAAAGATTATTCATTATCAGTCGGCACGCCAACTCGTTCGCCGAAGTAGAAGTCGTATAGTCCCCTTACTCATTCAGAGTAAAGGTAATGTACCTTTCACCACCGAAGCAGGAGTACCAGCCCCTCTCGATACCACAGAAGTACTTCTTGGCGTCGGAGTAGAAGCCGTAGCCCAGCAAGACTTCGAAGTAGGAGTTGCAGTCCAGTAAAACCAAAATACAGAAGAAGCCACAGTCACGATCACTCTCGCAGTAGAAGTCATAGCTTAGGCAGACCTCGAAGTGAAAGCCGTGGCTTAGGCAGACCTCGAAGTAGAAGTCGCAGCTTAGGCAGACCTCGAAGTGGAAGTCGTAATTTAGGTAGACTTCGAAGTAGAAGCCATAGCTTAGGCAGACCTCGAAGTAGAAGCCATAGCCTAGGCAGACCCCGAAGTAGAAGCCATAGTTTAGGCAGACCCCGAAGTAGAAACCATGGTCTAGGTAGACCCCGAAGTAGAAGCCATAGCCCAAGCAGACCTCGAAGTAGAAGTCATAGTTTAGGCAGACCTCGAAGTAGAAGCCATAGTTTAGGCAGGCTTCGAAGTAGAAGTCGTAGCTTAGGTAGACCTCGAAGTAGAAGCCATAGCTTAGGTAGACCTCGAAGCAGAAGTTGCAGCTTAAGTAGACCACGAAGTTAGATATAGAAGTCATTATCTTAGGTGGAAATCGAAGTTGGAAGTCTCAGACTTGGAGTGGGAAATCGAAAGTAGAAAAGTTATGGCTTAGGCAGACTCGAAGTAAGAAGTCATAGCTTAGGCAGACCCGAAGTAGAAGTCGTAGTTTGGACCTGGCAGAAAGAGAAAGAGTATAGAGGAGAGAGAGAGATTTTGGGAAATGTTGAGTGAATACGTGGGGAGATTTTGAATCAACGTTGTGATAAGTAATGGTGGTTGGGCGATTTTCAATGCTTAATGGGGGTAAAAATGTTATGGATGGAGTAGTATTAGTAGGTAATTTGGGGGGTGCCAAGGGGTAATATGGTAATGGGGAGGCCGCCTTTAATTGAGCTATGTGTAGAAAGAAATTTGGGTAAAAGTTATACTTATTTTATGGAAAAGAGGATATAAACCAAATATACAAGGGTATGTTGTAGCACATAATGAAAAGTAGTTTGTTAGATTAGTATTGGTGGATAAAAGGTTGATGGCGTTTAGGCTCCAGGACTGTACATGTTTTATAGAGGGGCAACTGATATATTCGGCATCTTTATTTAGTTGTTGCTTCCAGTTTAGAGTAAGAGGTAGATGGGAAAAGAGGAAGGTGGCTTACATACGAAGTTAGAGGGAGGTGAAAGTGTTATAAACTAAGGGAGGGAGGAAGTTTAGGGCGAGATTAAGCGACCTATTGGCAGAAAGGTGGATAGTGCAAAATAAGTAGTGGGGGGGGGGGTTAAAGAGGGTTGGAATAGTTTTAAAAATGCCTGTATTAGTATGTGGGGCAGATGTTTGTGTTATAGGAGGGTGGGGGCAGGAGGAACGGGGAGTGATTGTGGGATGATGAAGTAAAGGGGGTGATAAAAGAGAAAAGGTAGCTTACGAGAGGTTTTACAAAGCAGAATGGTCATAAGAGAGCAGAGTATATGGATGAGGTAAAAGAAAGTGAAGAGTGGGTGAGAGAAGTGCAAAAGGAGAGCAGATGACAGTGTGGGAGGAGGCCCACTGTCAAGAAATTTTAAGGAAAAATATGAAAAAAATTTTGGACCCGAGTTAACAAGTAAGAAAGCCTAGGAAAGTATGGATTTGTCCGTTTAAAAAACAGAGTAGGGAGTTAGTTAGTAGATGGGGAGAGGGAGGTAGTTAGGTTAGATGGACGGAATATTTTGAGGAACTTTTAAATGTTGAGGAAGAAGGGTGGCGGGTTATTATATGCACTGGCCAGGGAAGTTATACCATTCTTTGTAGGAGTGAAGAAGAGCAGAATGTATGTGTGGTGGATGGTAAGTGTGAGGCATTTCATAGAATGAAATGGGGGTGTAAAGCCAGCTGGAATGATGGGATCATGACAGAAATGTTTAAATGCAGGTGAGGGATTTAGTGTTGGAGTGGTTGGTTACTTTTTGTTTCAATAAATGTATGAAAGAGGGGAAGGTTACCTAGGGATTGGAGGAGAGCATGTATAGTCCCTTTATATATTGGGGAAGGGGACCAAAAGAGATTGTAAAAAAATTATTTATTAGAGGCATAAGTTCTGGTGCTATTCCAAGTGGAAAAAGTATAGGTTGAGTTAATAGAGTGATTAATTGAAAGAATTGAGGTTAAGACAGAATGTAGAATTGCTGTCTGATGAGAAGGAGGCTTCAAGTGGGGTAGGGGATGTGTTGGTCAAAAGTGTTTACATTGAAGCATATATGTGAACAGTATTTAGATAAAGGTAGGAAGTTTTTTTTGATTTTTGGGATTTAGAAAAGGCATATGATAGAGTGGATAGAGGAGCAAATGTGGCAGTTGTTGCAATGTAGATGTGATAGGTGGTAAATTATCTAAATGCTGTAAGGAAGCTTTTTGAGTTTGTGAGGCTAGGTTTTTGGGTAGTGTAGAAAAGAAGAAGAGGGGCGAAATATTCCCTATGAAAGTGGTCTTAGCAGCGGATGTGTAATGTCACCATGGTTGTTTAATATATTTATAGATGGGGTTGTAAAAGATGTAAATGCTAGGGTGTTCGGGAAGAGGGGTGGGATTAAATTATGGGGGAAAATCAAAATTCAAAATGGGAATTGACACAAGTTACTTTTTGGCTGATAGATACTCGTGCTTATGGGAGATTCTAAATGATAAAATTGCAAAGGTTAGTGGATGAGTTTGAGATTGTGTGGTTAAAGGTAGAAGTTGAAGTGGAACATAGAAAGAGTAAGGTGATGAGGGTATCAAATTGATTTAGATTAAAGAAAAAAATTGGATATCAAATTTGGGTGGAGGATTGTATGGAAGAAGTGAATGTTTTAGATACTTGGGAGTTGACGTGTCTGCGGATTGATTTATGAAGGATGGAGGTTATCATAGAATTGTATGAGGGGAAAAAAAAGGTGAGTGGTGCGTTTTGAAGTGTAGATGTGGAGTCAAAATAAAACGTTATCTATGGAGGCAAAGAAAGGGAATGTATGAAGTATGGTAGTTCCAACACTCTTATAATGGGTTGTGAAGCTTGAGGTGGTAAATGCAGCAGCGAGGAGACGGTTGGAGGCAGTGGAGATGTCCTGTCTATGGGCAATGTATGGTTTGGTTGTAAATATTATGCAGAAAATTCGGAGTGTGGAATAGGGAGAAGAAAAGTGTGGAGTTAATAAAAAGCAATAAGTCAGAGAGGCAGAAGAGGGGTTGTTGTAGGTGGTTTGGTCATTTAGAGAGAAATGGACCAAAGTAGAATGACATCGAAAGTTATAAATTATAGGGGAAGGAAAGAAGGGGTAGCGGTAGTCCTCGAAAGGGTTGGAAGAGGGAGGTAAAGGAGGTTTTGTGGGCGAGGGGCTTGGACTTCAGCAAGCGTTGCATGAGTGTGTTTGATAGGAGTGAATGGAGACGAATTGATACTTGGGACCCTGACGATCTGTTGGAGTGTGTGCAGGGTAATATTTAGTGATGGGATTCAGGGAAACCGGTTATTTTATATAGTCGGACTGGAGTCCTGGAAATGGGGAGTGTACAATGCCTACTCTTTAAAGGAGGGTTTGGGATATTGGCAGTTTGAGATATGTTGTGTATCTTTTAGTTATAATGCTTCTAAACTGTTGTATTATGGAGCACCTCTGCAAAAAGCAGTGAATAATGTTTGAGTGTGGTGAAAATGTTTTGAATGATGTTTGAAATAGTATTTTTTGGGGGGGATTTTCTTTCTTTTTTTTTGGGGGTCTCCCTGCCTCGGTGGGAGACGACCGACTTGTATGGTGTAAAATCTTTTGCAGGAAAATTCGGAGTTGTGGATCAATTAGGTGAAAGTGTGGAGTTAATAAAAGACATAGTAGAGGGGCAAGAAGAGGGGTTGTTGAGGTGGTTTGGTCATTTAGAGAGAATGGTCATTGTAGTTTGACATAGATGCATATAAATTATAGGGGAAGGAAAGAGGGGTAGCGGTCGTTCCTCGAAAGGGTTGGAAAGAGGGGGGTAGGGTTAAAGGAGGTTTTTGGGGCGGCGAGGGGCTTGGACTTCCAAGCATGCGTGCATGAGTGTGTTTAGATAGGAGTGAATGGAGACGAATGGTAATTGGGTCCTGACGATCTGTTGGAGTCGTGGAGGCAGGTAATTTTTAGTAAGGGTTCAGGGATAATTTCCGGTTATTTTACTTTTTGTAGGACTTGAGTCCGGGGGTAAGGGGAAGTTACAATGCATGCACTTTAAGGAGGGGGTTGGGATTTTGGACGCTGTTTGGGTAGGGAAGTGGGGTGTTGCTTGTTTTGTGTGTTTGAGTCTGTGGACTGTTGTTTGCTGTTATCAGCTGATTTTTCATGGAGTTTTGGGGCGTGGGGGGGGGTTTGGGGGGTATGGGGTGGTTTGGTGGTGAGGGGGGGGGTGGGGAGTGAGGGGGGGGGGATAAAGGCAGGAGGGGGTGTGGTAGGAAGTGGGGGTTTTTTTTTTTTTTTTTTTTTATTGTGTGTGTGTGTGTTGTGTGTGGTGTGTGTGTGTGTGTGTGTGGTGTGGTGGTGTGTGTGTTGTGTGTGTGTGTGTGTGTGTGTGTGTGTGTGTGTGTGGGTGTGTATGTGGTGTGTGTGTGTGGTGTGGGGTGTGTGGGTGTTGTGTGTGTGTGTGTGTGTGTGGTGTGTGTGTGTGTGTGTTGTGTAGGTGTGTGTGTGTGTTGGTGTTGTGTAGGGTGTGTGTGTCGTGTGTGTGTGTGTGTGTGTGTGTGTGTAGTGTGTGTGTGTGTGTGTGTGTGTGTGTGTGTGTGGAGTGTGGGTCGGTTGTGTGTGTGTGTGTGTGTGTGTGTGTGTGTTGTGTGTTGTGGTGAGTGTGTTTGTGTGTGTTTGTGTGTGTGTGTGTGTGTTAGTGTGTGGTGTGCTGTGTGTGTGTGTGTGTGTGTGTGTGGTGTGTGTTGCTGTAGTGTGTGTGTGTGTGTGTGTGTGTGGTGTTGTGTGTGTTGTGTGTGTGTGTGTTTGTGTGTGTGTTGAGTGTGTGTGTGTGTTGTGTGTGTGTGTGTTGTGTGTGTGGTGGTGTGTGGGGGTGTGTGTGTGTGTGTTGTGTGTGTGTGTGTGAGTGTGTGTGTGTGTGTGTGTGTGTGTGTGTTGTGTGTGTGTGTGTGTATGGTGTGTGTGGATGGTGTGTGTGTGTGTGTGGTGTTGTGTGTGTGTGGTGTGTGTGTGTGTGGGGTGGTGTTGTGTGTGTGTTGTGGATGTTTGTCGTTGTGTGTGTGTGTGTGTGTGTGTGTGTGTGGTGTGTGTGTGTTTGTGTGTGTGAGTGGATTGAGTGTGTGTGTGTGTGTGTGGTGTGTGTGTGGTGTGTTTGTGTGTGGATGGTGTGTTGTGTGTGTGTGTGGGTGTGTGTAGTTGTGTGGTTGTGTGTGTGTGTGTGTGTGTGTGTGTGTGGATGAGTGTGTGTGTGTGTGTAGGAGTTTGTGTGGATGTGTGTGTGGTGTGTGTGTGTGTGTGTGTGTGTGTGTGTGTGTGTGTGTGTGTGTGTGTGTGTGTGGATGGTGTGTGTGTGTGTGTTGCTGTGTGTGCTGTGTGTGTGTGTGTGTGTGTGGATGGTAAACTCGTGTGTCGGTGTGTGTGTATGTGTTTGTGTGTCATCTGTGGTATGTGTTGTGTGTGTCGTAGGTGTGTGTGTAGTGTGTGTGTTTGTGTGTGTGTGTATGTGTGGGTGTGTGTGGTGTGTGTTGTGTTTGTGTGTGTATGGTGTGGTGTGTGTATGTGGATGGGGTGTGTGTAGTGTTGATGTGTGGACGTGTGGTTGTGTGTGTATGTTTAGGTGTGTGTGAGTTGTGTGTGAGTGTGTGTACGTGTGTGTGGTGTTTGTGTATGTGTATGTTATGTGTGTGTGTATGATGTGTGTGTATGTGTGTGTGTGTGTATGTGTATGGTGTGTGTGTGTGTGTGTGTGATGTATGTGGTGGTGTGGTGTTTGGATGTGTGTGTGTGTATGTGTGTGTGTGTGTGTGTAGTGTATGTGTGTGTGTATGTGTATGTGTGTGTGTGTGTGTGTATGATGTATGGTGTGTGTGTGTGTATGTGTGTGTGTGTGTGTATGTGTATGTGTGTGTGTGAGTGTGTGTGTGTGTGGTGTATGTGAGTGGTGTGTGTCGTGTGTATGTGTATGGTGTGTGTGTGTATGTGTATTGTGTGTGTGTGTGGCTGTGTGTGTGTGGTATGTGTTGTGTGTGGTGTGTTGTGTGTGTGTGTAGTGTGTATGTGTGTGTGTGAGTGTGTTGTGTGTGTGTGTATTGTGTATGTGTGTGAGTGTGTGTGTGTGTGTGTGTGTGTGGTGTGTTGAGTGTGTGGGGTGAGTATGTGTATGTGGTGGTGTGTGTGTGCTTTGTGTGGTGTGTTGTTTGTGTGTATGTGTGTTGTGTGTGGGTGTGTGTTGTTGTGTGTGTGGGTGTGTGTGTGTTGTGGTGTGTGTGGTGTGTGTGTGTGTGTGAGTGTGTGTGGTGTGTGTAGTGTGTGTG